CAGCTGCGATCTTGGGAGCTCCAGATCGCACACCGTACCGCTGCGACGCCAGCTCCGCCTCCGACAGAGACTGTCTTATCAGGCTCTGTAAGCTTTTCTTTTAGAGAAAAGGGTGAAACAAAATGCAACAAACAAACAAGAAAGGAAGTTAATATATAGCAGGTTAGTGCGCTGTGTCAATATTTTTCTCTGTAGAGCCACCAATATTCCTGACTGAATATAAATGACTGTAAGAATCTGACAAACTCAGTTCCCAATAAAAGTAAATTTCACCGAACCTCAAAATAAGTTCAAAGAAAATCTCTATTGAGAAGTAGTCTACAGTTCTAAGTTATTGCCAAGACTAAAAGCCTGCGCATGCCAAAACCCTTTTTCTTTCCCCCTTCTTCAGCCCCCCTTGTCCTTCCAATCCATCCCTTTCTTGTTGATGATCTCAGCTCTTCCTGGATCTCAGGCTGGTACGACCTTGGTTGTCTCTGAGAACCCAATAACAGTCCACCTGCGCCTAACGGTCCTTTCCCTCTCCCCCTTTTCCATAATGGCAGGAACTAAGCAAGCAAGCTGGTTAACTATTTGATTGATTGCGAGGCTTCTGACAATGACTTTTCTAGACATTCACCCTTTTACAGTATTTCCTTTCCTGTAAATGCAGAAGCACAGAGTCTCTCACTACTTTTTGGACTACAACTTCAATAGTCCTTTATCGTTTTGTAAAAGGTAAATGATGTCCCTGAATCTGGAGGCCACTATATGGTCCACCAATGAAGTGTCCTCTTAGTCTTATGGAATTTAGGTTATATCGGTATACTGAGTTTCCTGGATAGTTCTTTTATTTTTGTTTTTGTTTTTTAAATACACTTCAGGAGAATAAGAAGATGACTAATGGATATTTCCATAATGAAAATCTAAAAGCTGTTGTGGGTAACTTATTTGCTGCTGGTACAGAAACGACTGCAACAACACTGCGCTGGGCCATACTCCTGATGATGAAGTACCCGGAAATTCAGCGTAAGCATGTTTCATTTATTGGATTTCAATCAAAAATATAAAAGTAATTAAAAGAAGATTTTTGTTAGATGTGTTACTTGAACAAGGGGAAAATAGGAGGCAAGAATAAATTGTCCTTCCTCTTTTTATTTTAAGGAACTCATGGATGTGAGAGTATGGAGAGATATAAGATACTTCTGCATTAAGGGTTCACTCATGTACACGCTTCAGCCCTTTCATTTTATGCTATCACCCCCACTGCTATTTCTTAGAGGAACAGCAGATCACACCCTAATAGGAGCCACGACTGAAGACACTTTTCTATTAAGAATAATGTACTCCAACCATGATCAGACCTTGACTCATCTCTATGTGCTCCACCCAACATTTCATTCTTTCTAGGGCTTGAAAATGTAAACTGATAGTCAATCCTTAGTCCATCTCTCCTCTGGATACAAATATTCATAAAAGAAGCAGGGGAAAGCTAACAAAAGATCATAGCTTTGTATTACTAGGTGTGCACCACAAATGTATTTGGCTTTACAGCCTTATCTTCTAACCTTGCAGATGCAGTATCTCTTAATGTACTTAAGCAAGTTAAAACTTCCAAATAAGATCTTATCATGTTTAAGAATTGTCACTAACAATGATATAATCTGTATCTTTATAATATTTTCTTCAGAGATAAATATTGTGCTTCTCCAATATACAACCAAGGTCCTTCACATTTTAGCACCAGTTCTCCAAAACATCCAGAGATCTAAGTTAATGACTACTGTATCCTTCAAAATTTGTAAATTTTACATTAACTCTGACTTAAAACAACATTGAAACAAAGAGTCGTCTTAATACATAATATTGTTTTGCTCCCCCAGGGAAGGTCCAAGAAGAAATTGCAAAAGTGATTGGAGATCTCCAGCCAAGGACAGAACACCGAGCAGAAATGCCTTACACCGATGCAGTAATTCATGAAGTTCAAAGGTTTGCTAATATTATTCCAACCAATTTGCCACATGCAACCACCATGGACATAACTTTCAAAGGCTTCTTCATTCCCAAGGTAATCAGTCTGAAATAACTGAATTTTTCAGGTTCCAATCTTTCAAAGTACAGTACAAACAATTTTCAGTAAGTAACATGCAGTTTTAAGAGTTATTGAGCACTCAGTCTAACTGATAATTATCCATTGCCCTGTTTTTCCCTTAAAGTTTTTTTAAACTTGTTTCTCCATGTCTAGTATTTACCTCTCATTATTTAAAAAATCATACATTTGCAATACTAACTTTAACATTTCTTTGTAATAATTTCTATAGCAATGTACTAGATAGACACACTCTTTTCAATGTAGTTTTTTTCCTTTTCAATGTTTAGGGTATGCAGATTGTTCCATTGCTGTCATCAGTGCTCCATGATGAATCTCAGTGGGAGAAACCTCATGAATTCTATCCTGAGCATTTTCTCGATTCTGAAGGGAAATTTGTGAAAAAAGATGCATTCCTGCCTTTCTCTGCAGGTAAGGTTCTCCGTACATGTGTCCAGGTGTCCAGTAATAGGCAACCATTTACATTTTGGAAAGAAACTTTCACGAGACAATAGAACATTTGAAAAAGTAGTAGTAAAACCATGATTTAATAAATCTCCATTTAACAGAGTTTAGGCATAAGAATGTCTGATGCTGCCACAAGCTTACAATGCTAATGAGGCTGCACTGTTCTGGCATCCAGTTTCTAAAAACAGTCAGGCATTTGAGTATAAAACAGCAGCAGCAGAAAGAAAGTTCTAGAAAGATCTCTATGATAGTTTATGGAAACACGTATGAGCTTCACAGATTAATACCAGTCGTAGTACAGACGTCCAAAGGTATGAAGGACATTATAGCAGTCATATACAGTGGTACCTCGGGATACGAACTTAATTCGTTCCGTGACTCTGGGCATATCCCGAGTTGGTCGTAACCCGACGCAAATTTCCCCATAGG